CTCAGACTCAAGGAACTCAGAGCCTCCTTCACACTGATCCAACAGAAATAGAATGTGCTATTTTACTTACTCATTTTAACTTACTTATTTCAAACGTCTATCGAGATTTAAAATGAGTGTCTCATACGGTCAGCAATTCTACATATAGAAATATGTCCAACAGATATTCATTGCAACTTTGCAGCAGTAAAAAGTAGCCAACAATTGATGCCCATCCATAAGGGAATGTTTAAATAAATAATGTACCAAATGGACAAATGGGGTCACATATATAACTGTCTTCTTGTATATGCACAGAATTCCTCTGAGAGAAACCATTATCAACAATAACGTCAAGAGCGGGGAGAGAGTGCCTAGGGGCCAGAAGTAGGGGGGTTATTTTCCCCTGTGTATTATTTAAATAGTTCTTGCTTTCCATGTATTAGCTACTCATAAAATCAACTTTGCAGGAAAAACACATGTGTTCTTGAAAGGAACCTCACTGTCTTGCTGAGTGTGGGGTACAGAGGCAGTGAGTATCAACTAATGTTAAAAACGTCCCCGCTGGGTGACCGGTTAGCTCAGTTGGTTAGAGTGTGGTGCTGATAACACCAAGGTTGCCAGTTCGATCCCCATATGGGCCACTGTGAACTGTGCCCTCCCTAAAAGAGTCAACTATGCCATTGTAGCATGAAAGCAATGTGTAATCAATGACCATGGCAGTTCCCCAATTAAAAAAAAAAATGTCCCTGCCCTTCTATCCCAGAATAAGTCCCACACAATGGAAACTCTTTTTCAATATGACCTTTACTATCCAGAGAAACAGATTTAAGCAAAAGATAAAACTGAGTGGAGAGGAAGCAGCCAATATCCCCCCACCAAAAGAACTCTGTTGAGTGATGGGGGTGTGGAGGGGGCAGAGGGCCTGGACTCCAGAGTCCTTTTCAGGTACAAAATGCTCTAGAAAGATCTCTCTAAGCTCCAGCATCTCCTGAATCTTCATCAGAAGACCATTTAAGGGAACTCTGGGTCATTTCATCACAGGTTAAGTGTTTATTTCACTTGCTACTTCCTTGACCTCAGGTGGAGAGAACTCTTTGGCCAACTTTCTGATACTTCTGCTGTCGAGGCAATGTAGCTCTTTGCCCCCAATCTCCTGGGTATCCCAGCCTCTTAATCACAAATACACCAATGCCCTTGCTCCAAGACACCCTGGTCCCCTTCTGTCTCTGGTTAGCTTGGCACTATAAGACTCCCGGAGCCAACTCTGTGTTCCCAGCACCTCTCCCTGACTGAGCCACTGCCTAGCTAGTAGTGCTTCCCCACTTGTGTCTCTTTACCCGCTGAAAGAGACACTTCCCAGATGCTGAAAACTTTACCACCAGAAGATGAAAGGGACAGTGTTCAAAGAGTTTAAACATTCCAGGGAATATGACTCAGGCCTCAAGCCCAGTAAAGTCCTAGAACAGGCAAAGCTCATAAAATCAATGACCTCACAGAGCCCAGGAAGCAAGGCACAATTTGTCCACATAGTATCGGAAGACAGGACTGGCCATGATCTTGATCAAAGAAAGGGACCTGGCTACTTTACTAAGCTATCCCCCTTCACTTAAGGAGAAGTGCAATAGGGTCTCCTCCTGGAATCCAGGTAATGCCAGCTAGACGCCAGCGAAGAGACAGCTGAGTGAAGAGAGGAACTTACTTTTGAGGAGGTATTATGCAGGCTGCCTACCTGGCAGCTTTCCTCTCGCCTGACTTTTGCTAGCTAAAATGTCAAGTATGAGAAATGCAGAGTTAATTGAATTTTGCTCAGTGATGCATTTTTATTAAGGAAAAACATCATGAGTGGGAACCATGCCTTGATACTATCAAGCAGGCATTCCTGTGTTGGAGTGGGAGGAGGAAACAGAATGAGAGGTAGCTGGCCCAAATACACAGTTCACGTTAATACACGCATCACAGACCTCAAAGTAATATGCTGAGTTGAAAAAGCCAAACCAAAGCAGAGCGCATACTTTAGGATTGCCTTTCTATAAAATACTAGAAAATGCAAACTAATATATGGTGGCAGAAAGCAAGAGATCAGTCTGCTTGGGGATGGGGGAGCAGAGAGGCATAGGAGAGAGAGATGCTAAAGGGCACACGGAAATCTTTGGGGCTGATGGATACTTTCACCATCTTAATTCCAGTGATAGTTTCACAGGTGATATATATGTATAAGCTTATAAAAATGTACATGGTAAACATGTGCAGTTTGTTGTATGACAACTACACTGCAAAAAAGGTAATTTTTTAAGAAAGACCAGGGCCGGCCGAGTGGCTCAGTTGGTTAAGAGCTCGCTCAAGAGTTTGAGCTCTGAGCAACAGCGGTTCAAGTCCCAGCCCGAGCTGAGCAGCCGCAGAGCTGCCAACAGGTGGCAGGATGGCTCAGCTAAAAAAAAAAAAAAAAAAGACCATTTCAATTGTAATATGTATGATATGGGAGAGAGTGGGGTGGCGGATTGGGGGGGGGTTGTCACTTCGAGGGGTCAAAAGTATAACTATTGCACTGTGTTGTACAGCTGAAACTAATTTTTAAAAAATGTTTATTTCACAATAAATTTTAAAAAAAGAAAGACCATTTCAAGCTAAAAAACCAAAGGTTGAAATCTTCCTCAACCAAGGTCCCATTTCTTGGATGTGATATAATCAAAGAGCTATGATTGACCATGAATCTGCCTAAGGTAAAATTTGTGGGAAAAAACAAAAGCTGAAGTCAAGCAGACCCCTCCTCTTACCCAAATACCTGCCTTCTGAGGGGCAGAAAAAGGGCTGCTCCTGACAGCTCAGTTCCACAAAGCTGCCAGCTGAGTAGCCAGTTCCCATGTGACTATATTCCACTGGGCACATCCACATTCCCAACAACTGCTGAGAGAGTCCCAACCTCCCACTCAGTTAATGACCCAGTCAAAGCTAGAGTAAGGCAGGAAGGGGATGAGACAATGAGTATGATCTCCTCTGGCCTCCAGAGATTATCTTTCATGTCCAGCTCAGGCTGGACAGAAAGAATTGGGCAGAAAGTGCCCATGAATCAAAAAGATGGCCAAAAGGCACGTATTCTAAAAGACAAGTTCAGAGATAGGTCTGAACTTGGTTCACAGCTTCTCTGGCCTGTCTTAACCTGCTGAGAAAGAAGAGATAGCAGGAAAAACAATACTATCCTAAACACTTCAAACTATTTCCACAGACTCGAGTCACAGCTATTCATTCTCCATTGTCATTCCCAGGCAACTCAATAAGCCACCATCCTGCCCCCAAAACTGACTACGACTGCAGTCACCCCACCCAGGTGGGAACACGGTTAACTCACCTATGAGAAGCTCAGCCAGACAGCCGTCTGACATCTCATCTCCTGTCCTGTCGGCCTCCTTCCTGTACCTTTTCCTGTGGACTATTAGGGTGTACTTACCTGCACATTTCAAGCCCCTCAGGGTCAGCCCTCATAATGACCTGCCTGGGTCCCCTGCTTGGAGTGCTCTATCCTTGACCACCAACGATGGGCAAACCACATACTGCTTGAACACCTCTGGCTTCTTCCTCGGGGGTGTGGGTTTCTTGATACCCTGCTGTACGCCAGAGGCTCCTGCTGCCTGCACTTTGAGTAATTCTTCTGAGGTTTGCATCAGCCTTGCACTGGGAGGAAAGCTAAGCCTCCTACAAGAGCCAGGACCAGTCTTCAAAGAGGAAAGGGTTAGAGACCATAGACAAGATGGGAAAAAATGTCTTGGGAACAACTGGGGAAACAAAATGCTTCTTAAGTTTTCTGGGCCCCAGAGTATGAAAAGCACCATTTCCTTCTCCCAAACAATATCATGACATCCTCACTATCTCTGAAACAAAGAGAGGAAACAAATAAGACATGTTAAGTCTTGAAAGAGTATAAATGGAATTTCTGAATGTGTTCTTGGGACAGCAAATTATGTTCAGATATTTATCTCTATCTAAAACTTCCCTATCTCCCAGAGGAAGTTCAGAGAAACTAAGAAGAGGGATAGAGAACAAGACAAGATCAAGCTGAGGGCGGTGTACCTGCCCCAAGTTCCAATGTCTCAGCCTCCAGCCTCTTCAACACTAACTTTCATCACCAAAGCATTTGTTACTGCTGGTCTGCTTCCCCAGCAACACTGGAAGTTTTGAATATGGAAAGTGCCCAGCATCGACCTGAAAGATAAGGTCAGGGCTGCAGAATCCTATAAATAGATACAGTTTAGAAAAATTCTGGATTAGGGCACCCACAAAGGCTATTAGTAAAGCATTCTGTCACTAAAAGCAACCACTTGCCACAGACATTTTGTAAAGGGGAGCTGGTGACTGGAGAATGGTGGGAAACTGGAGAGAGAAGATACATGAATCCTAGAAAAGGGCAAATAAATCCAGAGCCAAGGATCTTGGAGGACCCACGGGGAAGCGTTCTCGTGATTGTGCTGGGCAGGCTAAATCAACAATAGCCGTGAGCACTGGAGTTCTGGCCTCTGCTGAACAGATAAGCCTCCCAGCAGGCTTGGTAGAAACAGTGGAGATCTGGGAGAACAGCATTAGGAGGTTCTCCGAGGAGGATCAGAGGCAGGGCAGTGATGGGGAACATCTGCGAGGGATCCGAAGGCTAATTCTGCCGACCTTCCCAGAGGGCTGGGAGTATCCAAGAGAAAAGTAGAGCCCGGCGTCATGGGCGCGGAGGAGTAGGGAAGCCCTAGGGCACAGACGCCTGGGGACTGGGAGGGCAGCGGCTAGTGTCACCCAGAGGCCTGGATCTCCAGGCAAGACCAAAGTTCCTGGAGGCGCAGAGGGACGCTGGAGTATTGGGGAGCTACAAAAAAGAAGAGGCTGGTGGGCTGTTCCCCCAAGGGGAACTTGGGATTCGCGGGTCGCGGTAACGCAAACTCCCGGGGCTGCCTCCCTCTAGTGAAAAGAGCGGCGAGAACTCGAGATGTGGTGCGTTGGGGTGTCTGCAGTCAGGCAGGTGCCGGGCGGGGCTCTCTCACCTGCGGAGTACTAGGACACTCAAGATCACCAGCAGCAGGAGTCCGAAGGCGCGGCAGGGCCTCCGCAGGATTCTCCACGTGGTCATCGCGCGTTAGGAAAGCTCGCAGGGACCCTGGTCTAAGTCCAACCAGCACTCAGCTGCCTGCCGGAGGTTCGGCTCCGGGGGGCGGGGCCGTGCGTTAGTCGCCTGGGCAACCAGACAGCCGCCGCCCGGCCCGCCCGCGCTCATTGGCTGCGGTGGTAGCCCCGCCGCCGCTCTGCTGGGACTGGGTAGCAGAGGCGGGACCCCCGCCAGGTCCATGTTGGCGGGTCCCAACTGTTCGCCGCTCCTAAGAGGCTACCGCGGTCTCCTTGCCTTCCTTCTCCCAATCTCAGGATGATGCTCGAAGTTTCAGGAGCTGTTTTCCTAGACGTGATATGCAAACAGGTGTAGAAATACTGAGCACAAATGTTGCCCAGTCCTTGCACACTGGTTGAACACGGGTAAAGCCGACCATGCTACATTAGCAAGCACGTATTAAAGGCCCCTGCAAAGCCAACACAAGCTTTTAAAACAATTCTGATTGTGAAGAGAAAAAATTTTGAAGTAATGACTTACCATGTGAAAAAACAGAACACTGTAGAATTTCCTTTAGACATATTTTATGGCTTAGTGTGATTCACGTTTGACTGTCATTGGGGGAGGGGGATGGTCGAGGGGGGAAGCACCAAAATAATTTCTGCATTTGGTTTCCACAAGTCTTTTTTTCGCCCTGACTCCCAGCGCTTTTAATTTTTATTTTAAAAACTGAGGGCCGGCTGAATGGCTCAGTTGGTTAAGAGTTGGCTTAAGAGAGCGAGCTCTGAGCAACAGGGCTGCCAGTTAGATTCCCACATGGGCCAGTGACACTGCGCCCAAGCAGAACTGTCACTGAGCTGACAATAGGTGGCAGGATGGCTCAGCCTGGTGTAACAACAAGATTGCCTGTTGATGATGGGCTATGCCCACCCACAACCAAGACTAAACTCAGCACCTTGAGCTGAGCTGCCACTTGGATGGCTCAGTAGATAGAGCATGTACTCTTAACAACAAGGCTGCTGGTTCAACTCCCGCATGGGGTGGTGGCTACGCCCACCCACAAGTAAGATTGAACACAGCACCTTGAGCTTAGAGGACACTAGCTGCTGATGGGCAGCCAGATGGTGACTGGCGCCCTCCACAACAAAGAACAACTTGGCTGGTCCCTTTCCCCAATTCCCCAACACTGCTCCCCTCCCCCAACTCCCCGATAAATCCTTAAAAAAATAAAATTAAAAAAAAAAACTCCAGATAAAACCCTCACATTTTAGGGTAAGACAAATAAAATTCTCATTCAAGAGCAGAATTATGTTACGGACACTGTATAATATTTAGACAAAACTTACACTGTCTAACAATCACAAGCCCATCTCATCCCAACAACAAATCAGATTTTACTGAAAGAAAATCTGAAACATTTTCTAGGGAGGCTAATGTGTTTTCAGAGCATCAGAGTTTCTAGAAAATATCCCTCATTGCATATTTTAAAACCATTTTCTATACTTATACATAGTTTTGAACTTATAAAGCTGATAGGGACAAAATGAGATTTTACTTCTAAGACCAAAGACACGCAGAGTTTAGTTTGAAGGGTCCTTTTTCTAACATTAAGCAAATACTTAGTCAAGTAGCAAAAGTTAAACCAAGGAGAGGTAAAAAATAAACAAATAAACAAGGGTGGAGGCCTTCCACAATGAGAGAAGATAGGTTGGGGCTTTTCCCAGTTCTGAAAGCAGAGCCAGAAACATTCCTAGAGACTTGCAGAGAGAGCAGTAGATCCCTCTTCGTACACTCTCAAAGATAGCACATTTGATCCACTTTTTAAGACATATACCAGGTGTGATCAAATAATACAGTGAATTATTAAATTTTAAAAATTTATTACAGTAAAAGACACATTGCCATTAATCCCTCTCAAAATACTCCCCCTCACTTTGAACACACTTATCCCATCATTCTTGCCACTTTCTGAAGCAGTTCTGGAAGTACTCTTTCATGAGTGTCTTTAGTTGTACTGTCGTGGCTGCCTCCATGTCCTGAATCGATTGAAAATGTTTACCTTTCAAGGTCATTTTGACTTTGGAGTAGAGCCAGAAGTAGCACAATGCCAGATCCGGTGAATGAGGTGAAAAACAACTGTAATGTTTTTTTGTTGTTTTTTTTTTAATTAAAGTTTATTGGCGTGACAATAGTTAGTAAAGTTACATAGGTTTCAGGTATACAATTCTGTAATATATCATCTATATATCACATTGTGTAATGGCTTTATTTGACAGAAATTGCTGTACAGAAGAAGCCATGTGTGAAAAGGAGCCTTTTTGTTATGATCCAAAATACAGTGAATGCTGCTGCCAAGCGCCATCCAACAGAAAGGCAGAAAACTTCAATACAGGAAGCAGCACAATAAACCTTAGTAACAGTGTGTGACACGTTTCAACTTGTTCCGTGTAGTCAGTTGGCTATGAGCTACGGTTGAGAAAAGGTGTGTTTTAAAGTGTTCTGTAAATCATCCTCCATCATGACAACACTCCATGTCACACATTGGTAAGTCCAGACAATTAATAAAGAGGCTGGATATCAAATTAGGATTCCGAAGATTTTATTAAGCTGAGCTCAGCGACCGTCTCCCCAGCTAAAGAAAAAACGGTACCCCAGACTCGGGGGTCTGGTTTTTATAAGGCAGGGCTATATGCAAAGTAAGTTACAGAAGCCAAAAAGAATGTGCAGTTATTCCAGGTAAAACCGCATCCCGCTATCACAACAGTGCCGTTATGTTCAGATGTCTTAACAGTATATCCTGACTGGGTTGAGCTGACCACACATTCTGTCCCCTAAACTTGAAAACTTCTTTGAAGTATAAAGATAGAGGCCATGGGAGTCAACTGTCCTTTTGATATGTTAAAATAAAAGAGAGGGGAGAGTTTATTGCTGTGAGGCCTTTTGGTATGTTAAGATAGAAGCAGGGGAGGAAAGGGAACTGAGGAATATTTTTTCTTTAACCTTTTATTCCCCGGCAGAAGCAAAGCAGGTGTACAGAAGCAAAAAGAGCTGTTAGTTTTTAGAGTCTATGGGAGTAGCTGAAGTATAATTTTTTAATGTGAATCTGTCCGAACTAGGGTCCGGACCGGGGTCCCTTCAACATCACTTCTGGTATACAGCAAAACATTATGGTGTGTCCTCATCCACCTTGTTCACCAGATCTGGCACAGTGCAACTTCTGGCTCTTCCCCAAAATCAAAATGATTCAGGACATGGAAGCAGCCATGACAGTGCAACTAAATACACTTACGAAAGAGAACTTCCACAACTGCTTCAGAAAGTGGCAAGAATGATGGGATAAGTATGTTCAAAACGACGGGGAGTATTCTGAGGGGAATTAATGGCAATGTGTCTTTTACTGTAATAAGTTTTTTTTTTAAGATTTTTATTGGGGAATTGGGGGAATGGGAACAG